GTGTGTATATATATCTATATATATGTGATATATAGATATATATACACATACACATATATATAGAACATTTAATTACAAATGCACACAGTTGTAAAAGTGGGAAAAAACACATTAAATAACCCATCATTCATCTCTGTAGGTGCATGCATTGTGGAGAAATAAATCTTCAAATTTCACAACACGGGCACTGAAATCACAGCGATTTCCGCTTTACTTCATAAAAGTAGAATCTTGATAGACCGCCAGTCAGTAATATAAACAAGCACCAGGTGCTGTAAGCTGTTAGAAACTGACAAACTTAACTTTAGAGTCTTTATTGTGACCTTTGAGGGCCTTTAAAAAGAACTTGAAAACATGTGGCTGGAGAGGTCACAGGTGCACTTTAAGGATTTATCTTTACCACTTGTTCAGAATATGCAAATACTATTACATGTATAGTCTGAGCACAGATTCACAAGTAACCATGACTGTATAGATGGTTCCGGTTTTATGCAACGCTTATCTTGATTTCTCATTCCCCAATGGGAGATGCCCATTAACAACATAATATTGTGAAAGTAACGCAGCTGGCACCCATACTTTCTTGCAACCAATGACTCATCTATGGCCCCATTTAGCAGCCGGCCAGGAAATTCCTTGGCTAACAGCTGAATGTAAACTAAGGGGCTGGGATAGGTGGCCGATGTCATTACTCAAATGACAATGGTCATATATGGTAACCATGGCTCTACAGTGTTCTAAGTGTGTATGTTCCTCATCTCCAGCAGTTCTATCAAAGAAGTTGTGCTTTTGGAAGTGAACATTTGGCATGCTGCTTGGTCAATATACAGTATGTCGTCAATCCAGTCACTTAGTTTAGGCTTCACTTTGGATCAATAGCACCATATTTATTCCCCAAAATAGAGGAACAGGGTACCCCTTTTTGTTCCGGTCATCACTGGAGACCTTCCCAACACGGGCCCTACTGATAACAATATAACAATAATAGCCCTCCAATTTGTTAAAAAGGATGCCTTAAGAGGTATTTATTTAGGAACATTAATAGGAAAAGAACACCATACTGAATCAAATTATCAACACTATTCATAAGAAGTAAAACATTTATTGGGCTTAAATATATTACATATACACTAGAAATACAGTTAAGTTTTACATACCGCAGCAACTGTATTTTTTTGGCAAAATCTATACATTAAAGTAGATATGACGGCTCTAATACAATGCATACAAAGTAGTCTTAAATTTACAATAGCAGAATTTTTTTTGACTTTCTTATGAAATGTTTGGAATGTTTGCCAAAGTGAGGTAAAATAATTTTTTGTAATTAGACGGTTGTGCAAGGATGTCTTTCAGACATGACGGAGTTATAAAGTTGATTTTGAAGTGTCAAGAAAAGGGAAAAATCTATTGCCAATAAGTACCAAATCCTAGCAGTGAGCAACAGTTCAAGTGACTGGCAAATTAATTATCAACTACTTGTATCTGAAAGCAGTTCTAGGTGTTAAAGCAAAGAATATTAGTGAGGAAAGGTATAAACAACAACTGAGAACAGGCCAGTGCTTGTATTTCAGCAAACATGAGGTAACAACTACCTGTGTTGGGCTTTTCTTTAGTGTGGGTCATACTAGAGAGTACTTTAACTTAAATAATGCAATACGGCTGAAAAGCCTTGAACAAAATTGCTCACAATAGTCAAAAATAGTACAAAGATTTGTTTGAACATTATGACAGATGCCATATTATAATCCAAAGGTATCATGGCATTCCACCTGTGTCATAGCTTTTTCATGCAAGTATGATTAAAAACTGATTTGAGAAAAAGTATAAAAATATAAATTTGTTAATTTCATTGTCTTAAGTGGACACAAATATTATATAAAATAATATTTAACTGCATAAAAAAATCCTCCTAAATATAGTGGCTTTTTAAAATGTGGAATAATAAAACAACAACTGTGTATTCATAACAGAGCATTCATAATGATCATATAGTGATAGATATGTAACATTCAAAGCAGCACTACTACATAATATATTTTGAAAATAATGTGTTTAAAGTACCTAATATAATTTTTATCAGACAATGTCGCTGCTGTCAAAGTGGTATGATTATAGTCTTTAAATAAACTTGGCATATAATAAAAAAAATTAATTTAGTGATATTCATGTCCAATAAATTGTCCAATAAATTGCCTTTTTTTCCTAAGCATTAAATAAGTAATAATGCTGCTTTGAATAAGACTGTAAGAAATGTAAAATATATTTGCAGCAAACTAGATAAAACCGTGTGGTTTGTTTTCCACTATGCTTAATCATTTTGATATATTTTTTTGTCATTGAGGGTAGCAGCACTAATTAGGAATTATTTGTAAAATTACTTTATTTTTCATTTTTATTTAAATCTAAAGGGTGCAAAGCTTCTTTTTTTTACTTTTTTTTTTAACTAAAATACAAAAGATCTTTTTTGTTAACAATGTTAAAGATTATACTCACAAAATAAAAGAAAAAAAACTGCATACAAATACATTTAAATAAAAGAAAATTAAAATGTAATTTGCCGTAACATTGGCAGTAATATTAGTTTGCAGAGCTATGTTAATGTAATGTTTACATTTATATTACAGTATATTTCTAACATTTGCTACATCAGTATAGGCACACAGCATGATTAGTGGATCATAACACTTTCCTTAAGAGAGATGATTAGAACATTTGGTTACATGTAAACGTTTCAATCACGGATGTTTTGGGCTTCATAAGCGCTGATTTGATTTTTTTTTTCTTTAGAAGTAACAAAAAAAAGTCTTAAAACACAGATAACACTTAAAATGCTGCTGGGTAAAAAAATGATCCAACTTACAAAACTGAAAATTTAACATGCTACAAATATTAGTACATATTTATTTTTTACAATAAATAAAGATTGCACTGTAGTTGGCATTTCAAAGTACATAACGTAATATAATGTAAAAATAAACCTACAACAAAAATATTGTTGGGTTCCCCATTGCTTTGGTTATGGGAGTTACAAGCTGATATACTATGTAGAGAAATATAACAAAATATCTCAATGAATGTCAAACATTAGATTCTATTACAATGCAAATTAAAGCAGCAAAAATATACAAAATATAGATTTATATAAAAGCTGGGTATATGGTGTGTGTCTGTTGCACCCTTTTAGAAATGAGTTGCACCTTCAGCTGAAATGTTTCCCTGAGGCACTTTTTCACTTAAATGTAAAATTAATAATTTAATTGCTTAGGTTAAGGTTGGAAGAAAAGTGTGCATACTTGCCATTTAACATATGTTCAATATTTCTTGGTACTCTTAAGGAAAAACAGAATAATGGGAATTAAAAAAACTGACAAATGTATCTAAAGGTTATTAATGAAGGTTGATTTCAATATTCAAAATTAGCTGGGCTCTAAAATTACAATTTCATTGACGGGCACTGCTTTACCGAAAAATTGGCTCCAAAAATAATGTTCCATATTTCATACTGTATATATTGTAGAACAAATAGAAAATAGGAATGATAGTTACTGAATGAAATTAATATCAGTGCTGCCACTGGATGTAAAGATCCACACCAAGAATCTTACACTGAAAATTAAGCTCAGAAGTAAATAGGTCGATAGGCTACTGCAGCAGCATCTGCCTCACTTATTTGAGCGCCAAGAAGACCACGAGGCTCTAAAAGATCAGGTGATAATGCAGCCAATGAAGAACATCTGGTCACAGGAGGCCTAAGGTAGAGGACCCTGCTGGTGGGCACCACTCACCAACGGAAGGGGTTGTCATGCTTTAGCATAAAGCAGAATATCCCTTTAAGAATAAAAAAATGTATGTAATTTAGCTTACACAGACCATCAGCATACATTTCAACAGCTACATAACATTGTATATTTAACTATTGCACAATTCCCTTTGGCATTAAGTTGCTACATTGATAGGAACCGGACTATTTTTCAGCATAATATATGATGCACACACTAAGTGCTAAATACTTTGTAGTTTAGCTATAAATGCCTTATTATGCATAATATTTTTCTATTTCACTTTACTAAAAACAAAATGGGCACCTGGCTGGAAAAAGAACCTTTGGAACCCAAGTAAAGGGATACTTACTGAAATGGCTACAGACAAGGACAATCAGATCAAAACTATGAATCTAATTATTCCCATTTTACCAATAATTGTTTTTTTTTTCTGACCAATAATAACAATTGAATAAACTACAACACATATATGCTACATTTTAAAGGGGAATTCTACTTTAGCCTAGAAGTGGTCTTTTGTAGAGATCCTTATGTGTTGCAATACTGTTCTTATCCTTACCTTAAATCCCCTATGTTTGCCATAATAAAGTATTTTCAGGAAATTAGTAATTATACTGTGTGTATTTTTTCCCCAAACAATATGCCAGTGCATGTGTCTCCATATGCCTGTTCAGGTATACCTCTATCTTGAATGTAATAGCCCTTTAACTAAATCAATACAATTGGTAAAGCTTAGTCATATATACCTTTGCCCAAGAATCATGTAAACCTTTCTTGTTTCCAGTGCTGAGCACGTGACAATGCTGGAGCATGGGTTTGATATCTCACCTAATGGGGAAGAACAGAGCTGAGAAACAGCTGCCCACTGTACTTGAATCTCACCCTTCAGCAGTTGCACTGGTAACATGACTAGGTAATGGGGAAAAGCGTTTACAAGGTTCTTAGACAAAAAAAAAAACAATATTTAGTACCTAGGATGACCTTTTTAGTCATATCATAGGGGTTGAATAAATGAACGGTACAATTTAAGGTATTGTTCCACATAAAGATGGATTGCTAAATTTAGGGTACAGGTTCAATTGAATGCTTATAAGCTTTAGATACAAATTTTAAAACAAAATATGTATCAGCAGAATGAGATACTGTAGTGTGGTTAATGCATAACACATTTTCCAATAGTTTTGGTCATTTTTAAAGGACAGCATTTGAAAACTGAAACCTGACTTGTACACGTTATTACCAAGAGAATGATTCTACTGTACTGTAATATATCTACTCAGCAGAAACAAATTTCAGCTATTTCCTGGGTTTGCATTTCAAAAAGGTGCACCAAAACACTGAGAATGTAGCCGAAACAGTAAAAACATGAATACAAAATGCAGAACTCAAAATGATTGGTATTTCTTGAAAACAAATATCTGAATAAATGTCTGAATTATAATGCGTAGCATTAGTTAAGTTTATGCCTCAGAACTGTCTTCATTGTCTACTTCATAAAGAAGTACTGAAGTATAAAGGCAAACAAAACTGACAAGGTGGCAAAGCCAAGAACAAAGAGGATTGCAAACTGTTCATCAGTAGGCATCATGCTCTTGAATTTCGCATTTTCAAGGTGAGTTATGTCCTCTGGTAACATGAGATCACTCCGTCTCATAATGAATGATGCAGATGGACTGTAAGATCCACAGAGTTCTTGGGTGGTATCTGCACATCGACGACATACACAAACCCGAAATCTGTAATCCATGTTGTTTTGAAGGCCTGAGATTTGAAATGATGTGTCTTCTCCTTTAAATACCTAGAAAGCACAAACAATATTAAGATTTTATTATGAGTGATTATGATTGGACAGCACTCAAATATTACATAGTTACATAGTATTTGAGGTTGAATAAAGATACAGGTCCATCAAGTTCAACCTATTGCTTGTATGTATGTGATTCTGCGTGTGTATGTACATTGGGTAAACTGTTTGATATTAGCCATTCAAAGTATCTTGAATAAGTTTGAGGGTGAAAATATATTAGGCTCTAAATATTTTCAATTCTGGCAAAAAGAGACCCCAAATGCTTATGTGCCACTGGGATCAGGCTCATTCTGTTTACTAGGCCCACAACTCCCTGATTACAGCCATGGTGCAGTGCAAGATTTGTGTGGGGCAGATACACTGATTGGCTGCTTCTGCCCAGGCAACTAACTCGCACATATCAGACCCTGTGCTGCAGCAGAAACTAAGTAGTAGCAGACAGTTGGCTTCACCTGACCACAGTGATAGGTGTGTGTTATTGCTAGTAGAAAGTTGGAACTAGTGAGTAAGGAAGTGAAGGTGACCTGGCGTTACCATGGTTTAGAACTCTGTGTATAATGTTTTTTTTTATTTTTCCGTTGTGCTTTACTTTTCCACAGAATCAGGTAAAGATTGAACAAGCACAGACATGTAACATTGAAACAGGCATTGTATGTAGTTACCTTATCCTTTGACTTCAACCACAGTCTTTTTTGTAGGTCTAGAGCCTAATGAGTGAATTTTAGAGGAGATTCCATATACCCATAATGTAAATGGGTACTTTATTTGACAACCCTTACTAAGGTATGAAGTTTTGGCCTTACATGCTCCTGTTGACATCCAAGAGGATCTGTCAGGTACCTAGATGCCGAGTCCCTCTGCAGGGACGCAGACATAGAGGGCGTCCACCGGCACGTCCCGGCCGCGCAGGCGCAAATGGAAGACGGCCCAGCGGGTCACGTCCTGCACGGCGTGACGTCATCGCGGCAATACGGCGCGGTGACGTCATCACGCCGGCGCATGCGCCGTAGCACGTCCTCGGGCTATATAAGACGCCGCAGGACGCCCATTCAGTGCTGGGTGATCTTCAGCCAGCACTGGAGGGTTCTGTGGTGCTCTTGCCTGTTCCCTTGTGCCTTGCCTTGCCTCCTTCTCTTCCCCTTTGTGATTCCTGTCTCCAGTGCCTTCCTAAATATTTGACCCGGCTTGTCCATTGACCCTTCTCTGGTTAACCCCTGGTACTCTGCTGTCTGCACGTTATTGACCCAGCTTGTCCATTGACCCTTCTCTGGTTAACCCCTGGTACTCTGCTGCCCGCACGTTATTTGACCCGGCTGGTCTCTCACTCTCCCTTTTGCTATATCCTTCTAGCACGACGCGGCCATTCTGCTAGGTCATCAAGTAGACCTTGTGGCCTCAAGATCCGCATCCGGCACTCGTGCATCCCCTGCCTGAACCTACTGTTCTCAACCCCAGTGGTCATCAGACGGGTTTGCAAGGGAGGTCCTCCTCGTCACTTCGGGCTCACACCACGATCCTAACAGGATCTAATGGCAGTTTCCGTTTAAAACTATTTAAAGTGTATTTCCACTTTTGCAGTCACATTTAAGAAACCCCCCACAATACGTTTGTTATGTGTTCCCATTCACACAGCATACCTAGAAACCATTTTATTATTTCTTACTTTTCTAGTTGTAAATGGGTATTCTGAACAACTTTAGAGGGACAAACTGGGGACCGACTGGGTTTCCCTCATTAACATGCAGTGCAGAACCAAAGCCTTGAGATCATTAACACTTTTTTAGGACAGACAGTGTTCAAATCTAGATTACAACTCATAATGAGATCTGCCAGCACAGACAGGGTTCATTATGCTAAACATAACTCTACAGCTCCCTTCATTACAAAGAAGGGGTATGCTAGATTTAATTAAATTTTTTAGCAAGAACAAAAGCACTTTAACCACTTGCTGACCGGGGTGTTTACACCCCCTTCCTGTCCATGCCATTTTTCAGTATTCAGTGCTGCGGCACTGATTGACGTTATTCCGTCATGCAACGCTGTACTGAAATTAATTTTATACAATTTTTGTGGACAGATGGAGCTTTCTTTTGGTGGTATTTATATACCACTGGGGGTTTTATTTTTTTTATATAACAAAAAAAGTACAGAATATTTTTAAAAAATGGTTTTCCCTTTATTATTTTAGAAAACAATTATTTTTACCCAATTTTTTGGTAAAATATAAAAGGCGGGGTCACATCGGGTAAATAGACACCAAACATGTCAAGCCTTAAAATTGCACGCGCCCTCGGAAATCGCAAAAGAACACCATAGCCAAAATTTGCCGTAGGCGACGCTTTAAACGATTTTACCGCTCATCAGTTTACTGTTATCAGCGATTGATGGCCCTAACATGATTCCTCTCGTTGTGACATTCGCTGCGATATGTAACACGTGCAGCATAATTGGAGTAATCGCCGTTTTTGCGTGTAGGCGCATGTAACACATTTTTGCGCATCTATGTGGGGGTGGGGGACTTTTAAAACATTTTGTGTTTTTTTTGTTTTGTGTGTGTAAATTTGTATTTATTTTGTGAGCATTATATTTTTTTTTACATTTAACTTTATTGTTATCACATAGGGTGTTCCTATGTGATAACAAATTACAGTTACAGGTCCCCTTTATGGAGACATCAGGGGTCTCTAAGACCCCTAATGTCACCTAGGGACCCCCAGAGAAGCTGATGAAGCACAGATCTGCTTCATCAGCTTCTCTCCGGTTTCTGTACCGGAGAGTGACAGAGGAATGCGGAAGTGAATCCACTTCCTGCATTCAGAGACCTGGAGGAGAGCGGAGGGAGATTGCGGACTGAACTCACTCCGTTCTCAGTGAACAGAACCGCATCGCCCGGGACGGATGGACGCCCGGGATCGCGGGGACAGGGACGGTGACCAGAGGTAAGGAGGGGCGCACCCTCACTTGAATCATACAAGTGATTGGTTGTCTTTACAGACGCTGGACCGCTTGTATGTAAACGGCCATCGATGGCCGTTTAAAATCCTGGCGGATTCCCGCTTGTGCGCGCCAGGGGGCGCACGCGCGGACGGGCGCGAAGGACATCTAAAGATGCCCACCCGCATCCAGGAGACTCCTGTGCACCTGTCTTTCAACGATCGGCGGACGGGAAGTGGTTAAAAAGCAAGGAGCAATTTTTACATGTTTTTAGGTTATGCAATGTGAATAGGAACATGTAACAAATATAATATAGGTGTTATCCCAATTTGGCTGCAAGAGTGGAAATACACTTTAATATAACGTAATAACATACTTATGTATAGGCTGCAATTCAAATTACAGTGATATTAATCTAGGATTCTTTGAATCATAGCAGACCACAAGGAATCATATTACCAAGATACTTTCAGATAACCCATCTTTTCTGGAATTAGATAAAAGTTGCCACATGGCTAGTCCAGGCCTGTTTAGGAATATATAGAACCTGCAGTTTACTAGTAGACCAGTAAAAATAACTTCACATAAAAAGGTTAAACAAGTGTAATTCAATTTAACATACAGCGTTTATGATTTATATGCGCATGTTTTGAAACCGCTCAAGGTAAACAGGTTCATATGTGTTCATCTATTTAGTTCTAACATAATGTGTTGGAGTAAGAGTGGGATCAAACATGCGGCACACTGATCAGTAAGTATTCAGCGTTGGATCTGTACTTAGTAAGAAAAAAATCTGCATTTGTCGACACCTTTTCTTTTGCCAGTGAAAACAGTCATATGTTTTATAACATAAAAAACATAGGGCTCACAGTAAATGTTCACTTTTCCCACATCTTGTAATGTAATAAAATGTAAATGATATATCTGAAATGCTTGCCTCCTCATATTTTCATGTAATTTCCACATTACCATGTCATGCTGAAGATACGCTTCATGTGATAGGAGACACTAAAATTACCTAGCAATTTACTTACTTCACAGCTCAATTTATCATAATTCACGTATTTGGCTTCAATCATGTTATTTTTATTACTCCTAATTTTGCAGCACACATGATGGTTTGTTACCCCTTATGCAAATTTTACAAGTAACTTATTTAAAAATAGTCTATCACGTCATGTTTTCTATACATACAATATATGTGTGTGTAATATATATATATTACACACACAGGATACAGGATTTTTTTTCTTAGTTTTGTGAAAAGGGTAATTCTGCTCAGAAATGAGCAAAGACTATAAAAATCCTCTTAAGAAAATAAAATAGGTACAGATGTACACAATAAACTTATCTTCAGCAAACTTGACAATAACTCACTGACTAATTTGCTTTCCTAAATACATTTTGGGGGCTTTCATTTGGTATTTTTAAACCGGCTAAAATAAGTGTAAAGTATGCCAAAAAAAAAACTTTTTGGATTTTGCTTTAAACTTTGATTTAAAAAAAAAAAAACATTCTGTCTGCTTTAAAACTGCATTTCTTTCTCTGTGCTAAGCAAGTGCAGAAAGAGAAATACACTGACAGCTGGAGTGATATAGGTTCATTACAAACCTCATGTGTGCAACATGTAATAACTCATATGCTGATCACATGATCAGAAACCACACTGATTGGTTCTCTATCATTTATAGATACCAGAAGCTTTTCCTAGCTGGAAAAGAAAACAGCAATTTTTTTTTCAACCTGACTAACTATGTAACTATATAGGAGTGGCATTTACCTTTCACAATTAAATATTTTTATTGGACAGCACATGCTATCATTTCAGGCAACTTTCCGAGAGAAAGTATTACAACTGTTGCCCAAATTTCACAAAGGTAAAATTATCCTTATGGGAAACTATCCTTGTATTGGAGCCAGTGGATACTATATCAGTGCAGAAAATTGCAGCACTTAAAGCTTTTCATTTAACAATACCTAGATATTTTTTCACCTATAAATACTACATTTACTACTCATATTTTTAAAACTCAGATCATATTTAACACAGTCAAATAGCCTTGTGTCCTTTTAGTTGAAATTATTATTATGATCATGTACCAGCATTTCTAACTCCTAGATTTATATATGTGGCAGAAGTTGCTCAGACAAGTCCTAGAAATTAAATGCTATTTTGTTTGATGATAAGGTAGTCAAAAATCAAACCCAACTAGCTGGTAAAAAGATGGCAATAATAGAAGCCTCAGTTGAAGACATTGCTAATATACTTCCTCAATTTATTTTGCATTTCCAGTGAAAATGGGCAGTTTATTGAACAACAAAAAAAAAAAAAAAAAACATCGGTAAGGCAGATACTGCCCAGAATTCTTTCAACAAAATTAGGTTTTGATCTATTTTTCAAGTTTGTCATTTAAGGAAATCTCAAGCCTTGGATATGACAATTTCTATCTTTTTGTTGGCAAAGACACAGTAATACGAGATCATTTTTTTCCACTTTTGTCATTTAGTCTCTTTCTGTCCCTTCTTTTTTTCTTTAGCTCATGACAGCATTAATGTTGTTGACCCCCAACTAGCTTAAAATGTAACCTACAGAATGCACACATAAATAAATGGGACTTAGAATTGTGACCTAGTTATGGACATTTATACATGTACATATTCTAAACAAGCAGTAAATAGGCTATATATATATATGTATATAGAAGCAGCTACAGCATTCTCTTCCTCCAATATTTCACTTGAAGCATATTGTTCACAACATAGTATCAGGGCCACTATGATCTTAACAATTCAAGTGTTATATCCTCCTGACTGTCTGTCCCAGATTTCTTTCTCTTGTCAATACAATGGAAGAGTAACAAACCATTTGTACTAGCAATAGAAATAAGGCTGACAGACACAAATAAGCTCATAGAAAAATAGTTTTCGCATCCATTTCTAATGACACATAATTTAATACCATGAATGTGATTTTATTATGAAGAAAAACTGTCATGCCCACTGGTTTGAATTAAAGAACACTATAATAATGTTATGTATCAGCAGAAAAAGCTCAACATATTTTATCATGTAATAAAATCTTATACTAGAATTCTTCGGGGAATCACATTTATGTGTTATTGGGTTACTAACAAGTGTACAGTCTGACGTATGATTTTAAAACAGCATGGTATGACTTATTGGTCCTTTTTGCAATGAAGCCCAATGTAATTACCATCCTTCTAAGAGTCCTGGAAATTATTTGTGTGGCTAATTAAAAATAATTGGTAGTTTAGATTTATGTTGGAGTCAAACCAGTTGTTCAAATTAATGGGAATGGGTAAGAACTGAACAGCTGTAAGACCCATTCCAGTCCTGTTGGTCACACATTTTACAATTGCATTGTACAAACCAGGTAACATTTATCTTAGATTTACCAACAACTATGTAGTCTGTGGGCCTACATAACCAATCCATGTACAGTAAACTCCCCATTATCCAGCATTCAAACAACCGGCTAAATAAATCGGGGCATAATATGTCCTCGTTTTTCTTTTTGCCAGTGGCTTGATACACACTAAAAAGTTGTCAGTTGCTTGGTGCACACTAAAAATTCCTTTAGCAACCAAGCTGAGGAAGAGGAGTGGACCTGAGAGAGAACTTTCTCTCTCAGAAAGGGGGGCAGGGTGGTTGCTTAAGAGTTACTATTAACTCTCAAGCAACCAGAAACTACAGTTATCCGGCACCTACTGATCCCTGTGGGTTCCGGATAATTGGGAGTGTACTATATTTATATTCATTCAGGTAGGGATCAGCACTCCTTTCCTTCCACTGTGGTCTCCTTGAAATTGGACAGTATAAGTGTGAGTCAGCTTTCTACCAGTGCGCTTATATCCATTAGTGTCATATTTTATTTTCCTCTTACCTGTTTATATTCTGACTCCCGGCCGACCTGCACTTGTAAGATATATGCAATAGGGTCTCCTCTCATAGGTGAAACAGTCTCCCATGTAATTTCACATGCGTTTCCTTCTAACTGTGTCACCTTGGGAGCTGAAAAATACAGATTTTCTTGGTTAACAATGCATAGCATCAATACACTCTTTAGCAGAGAGCACATATTATAACCCTGCGTGAACATGAAATATTATTCCGTACATGAAAGTTGTATCTTGTAGTCATCATAAAGTTACATGCTTCTCTCACCTGCACAAATCATGAACCTTGGAAACCTTTTTCAAGAAGCAGTTTTAAAAGCTGCATTTGTCTTACTGCTTTTGGAAAGAAAAAAAAATCTTAAACTGTCCATCTACTAGCATGGAGAAGAGAGAGGGGAGGAAGAAGGAAAGGGAGCAGGGAAGTGTCTTGCTGTGCATGTGTGTTTGTGGAGACAGCTTAATAGCACACACAAGGGTGGCTCCATAGGAACCTGCAAGGGGACCCACCCTAAGAGCGGATATCAAGGCCAGTGCTCAGGTGACCAACTGATTCTGCAAATCATTTAAACTTCAAGGAGCAGCATCCATTGCATGTGATTTAGTCAGAATTTCAAATATCTTTAAAACATTTTAACTTTAATATCACATTAAAGCAGAACTCCAATATAAGCAGAACTTGTCTAAATACAAGAGCCATGTGTTGTCTTACTTAAATTTTGGTGTGCTTTGTGTATTTTCTCTAGATCTGGCTGGTGCCTGGTCTTGTATCCACTCCCTGTAGTATTCTGCAGGCAGCCTGTAATGGGTGGACTTTCTGGGTCCCTGCACGGCAATGATGGAACCTCTACTTTTACAAGGTGATATCTGAACTTGCACAGCCATTTGGATTTAAATCGTTTAATGAACGTTTTGTGCCTGCAGTTCTCTAAATGTATTTATCACTGACCCCCAACCCTTAAAGTATTGTTGAAAAGTATTACATCTGAACTCCAGCTACACCTTGGCTTGCACGGTTGTACAGGCTCCTCTCTTGTACTGAAATTGCTTAGTCTCAACATCTCACAGTGTGCATCAGAAGCTGCAGCAAGTAAGATTAAGCCCGCTTCATTTCCTGGAGGATATATAGCAATATCTAGCTCTTTCCTCCTCAGCCTTACTGGCCTTGGCTGCCCCTTTCATTGATTGGATTTCTATTCTTTGGATTATGGAGGCTCAGCGTCACATGTGGGTTTTATCTGGGGTAGTCTGCATGAATATAACAGCCTGCCTAGTAACACACACTCCTCTAGACTGACATCCACCAATCAAGGCATTTTGCTATTTGCAGATACTGAGGCAGGGTGATGTGATGTTTTCTTGTACCCTGCTGGCCCTTCCCACCAGCTATGATCTGCCTGCATTGCGTAGAGAAGTACAGTCATTGCTAGGTCTTAGGGATGCACCGATACCAAGTACCATACTTGGTACAAGTACAGATACTTTTCGAGCTCCAAGACTAGAGAAAAATTCAAAAATTAGGAGGCAGCTGTCATTTGTAAGGCGCACACAGAGCTCCTGGGATTTGTACATCTCTGTTTTAATGTACGATTTTGTTTTTATAAATGTAAATAGGGATGCACAGATTCCATTTTTTGCAATTACAAGTACTGAAACTTACCCAAGTACTTACTACGAGTACTGATACATTTTTGTTTAGTGTCATGTGACAGTTTTTCTAAAACAATTCAGACTAATGATTTCAGGACAGTGGTGGAGCGCCAGAGCCAGGTCCCAGCTGCAACCGCGGTAGTGAAAATGCCAAGTATCGGCACTGGTATCGGAAAAGTATCGGTGCATCCCTACTAGGTCTACAAAAAGATATGATATAAAATAAGGGACAATATAAGCAGGTTAAACCTTAGCTTTAATGTTATGATTGTAAGCATGTTATTCCACTTCATTGTGCTTTATTAACGAGCTGTCATGAGTACAAATCTTGGCAGACCAATGAAACGGGATGCCTCGCTTTTTGGAATTACATCAACATCGCTTACACAGCATCATTAACAAAAGTAAACAGCATTTATTTTTATTTTTTTACAATCTACAGATATATGTCTTATCTTAGGCTCTGCACTCAGAATTTATGCAACCCCATGTAATTACTTAATAGCAGCAATTTCTTCAAGTGCTGGCACACATTTATTATTTCATACATGTGGGTGGACACTGGGGGGGTGACAGGTTTTGCCTGTCACAATGGCTGGCGCAGAATAACAAAGAGATATGCAAAAAAAAGGTCTTTGTTACTCAAAGTGCATCTGCCCAAATGAACAATAATGCTGTTAACATTGCAGTATGAACATCTAATATGTCTATCTAATAAATGAAGCGGATGAATTGGATGGGAATGGGATGTGATATGCAAGATGCATAACAAGTTTCTGTCATTTAAGTGTGTGCTTGTAGAAGTAGTAACCTTGTATACCCTCATCATGGACATTCTTAAAGCAGAACTCCGGGCAAAACTTTTATTAACCCTTCCAGTGGGGCTACCGCAAGGGTTGCCTGCTCGTTATGGTCTAGGGAGAAAAACAACAAAGTTATACTCACCCGATCCTCCAAGCAAGCTTCCTAGGCTGCAGCGATGGAATGCCCCTTGGCGTCCTCATGCAATATACACGGTGGGACCTTAGACAGCTGCAGCAGAGGGAGAGCAAGACTGGAAGGACCAGTCTAAGAGCAAGTCGGCTTGGAGGATCAGATGAGTATAGTTTCTTTCTCCCCCCCCCCCCCCCCCCGAGACCAAAACCAGCAATTAACTCTTGGAGTGTGGGGGTAGCCCCACTGCAAGGGAGGGTTAATAAAAGTTTTGGCCGGAGTCCTTTTTTAAGGCTGAACTCCAGGCAAACAACTAAATACAGAGCTAAAATACATAGGCATGAGCTGTTTTACCTGGTACAGGCTATGTAATTGTGACTCATGTATTTCTGTGAGATTGCAATAGTAAAAAAAAAACAATACAGCTTGGTTACTAAACTGCCATTAGTCTATAACTGAACATGGAAGGAACAGCAGCACACCGATAAAGTCAGTGACCCGGCCGAAATTCTCAGTGTATGGGCACCTTTATACTAACTTGTCCATGCTCCTGCCACATCTTTGCTGTGCTGCACAGCAACAAAGTCTTTCTGGTAAGTACTTGCATCTTCTGCATGGAAAATCTCTATTAATCCCTACAGAGTAGTCGTTTTTTATGTGTCCCAATGATGGACGGCCTCTCTACTAAAATGAATGGAGATTTTTAAAATTCATTCACAGATGAAGCAACTACAAAGCCAGAAGACTTTGTGGCTAGGTGGCTCCCATGGCCATGCATGTTGAAGATCTGGCAGGAACAAGGACAAGCAAATGTGAGACATTATATGGTGCTGTAAGTGTAAACTGTAAGTACTATACTATAGGAAAGCCCAAAAAATAACACCGCTATTGCTCGGTCTAGCAATTTACAGCCTGGTTCATAACCTTTCCTGCATGGCTGCATGAGTAAAGCACTCCAGCTTGGTCACACATCTTATAATGCTGGTAGGTGGAATCAAGAATTCTTGTTCCCCCAAGTTGCTATTTTTAGAAGATATTACCTACACTTCAAAATTATACATAATTATAGAGTTTTATATAACTGCACAATTCCTTCTTCTTGAGGGAGTCTGGATGTCTGATTTAAACGTTTCAATAAGTTATTCCACACATTCCATATTTCATTTATTGGTGGGCTTAATCACTCTTAGACTCCTTTTCATACCCCATATAATTAGCTCCATCTAACTACAAGGTGAAAACTTGGGCACCTCTGAACTTGGGCACCTCTGATCAAATTGCATGTTTTGACAATGTATTTAATATTAGAAGCATGTGGGTCAGTGGCAGAACTACGGGGCAGAAGTGGGGGGCCCAGTCAGCAGTAGAAAGGGAGGCTCTTCAGGGGTCTCCAAGTATCGGCCCATGTGCCAATTTAGGCCCGTGAACCGGTACCATCCAGCCCGCAGCTACAACGTCTGCATCTCTGTCAGATGCAGACCGCATAGCTGCTCCTTTCAGATGGAGCTCTGACAGCTCTGATCTCCGGCTGAAAGCATTGATTAGTTGGATCTGCACCAGACCTTACTAATCATCAACTAGAACACGAGGGGAGGGAGGGTGTATTAGGTCAGGTTCACGCCTGGGAGATCTATGACTGTGCGGCCATCGTGCACAAAATGTTCATCCCTGGCTAGCCGATTAAAATGGCCTAAGCTGCCAAACCCAGTTTCAATTCAACTGTACGTTTACCTGTCTATGCTCCTCTGAGATTTTTTTTGTAAAGCCTTCAGGGGAGAAGCATTGCCTCTTCCCCAAAAGTTTCCCATCTGGGCTATGCTTCTTCTATGCATGTGCGCAACAATTTTCATTAATTTATACAGATTGGCTGTCCACTGTTGATTAATACCAGTATGCATCCTTTTCAAAGGAATACATGGTCTAACAAATAATGACTTTAGCAGGCCTACTGCCCAAGGCCCTAAACACCAATCTAATCTTGATCGAACAGATGATGGTCAAAAGATTTATAATAGCCAGAAAAACTGAGAATACAAGATGCTCCAGTTGCAGTAATTTGCCTATTGCTAACCTTTAATGGTAGGTGGAACAGACTTGGTTGTGCAGAATGTGTAGATGTCAGAAAATGGCCCTTCTCCAGCATCATTAACAGCCTGAATCCTGAAGTTGTAGCACGTGAACTCGGTCAGTCTCTGCACCTTATATGTGTGGCTTGGACCTCTGTAGATGGGAAGAAACCTGCAAATATAAAAACACAAATTCATTGATACTAAATGGTATTATACTACAAGCTATGGAAATGGATGCAATCTGCAAAATTAATGCAATTCTCAAGCTGAAGAATTATGTACAAATATGCACAAATATAGCATTTGTATGTGGCATGTGCAACTATTCAGCCCTGAACATTGCATTGTATTTCTCATATATCTTTTATAATGTAACCAAAATATCTCATTAGTAATATGAGCATTGTTTGAAGGAATTGTATTCTTATATTGCCAGTGTGGGTAAGGTATAGCTAAATCAGTCAGTATAAAGATGGGAGAAGGAAATAGAAGTGTGTAATATAGGTCACGTCTTTCTGCCTTGAGGAAGGGACCCTGCGCGGTCCCGAAACGTCGGCTTTTTGATTACTGTGACGTCTTTGTCCAATAAAAGAACATATTCAACTATACTGCTAAGTGCTGGTGATCTACTCCTTTGTTCTGTAATGTAGGACCAACTTTAAAAAAATTACAGATAAGAGCACAAAAAATCAAGTATTTTAAATGCTTAGTTACAGCTTTTTGCTTTCCATAAATTATGTCTTATTCACTTGCAATGTGTCTTTGAACTTGCTGGTTCAACCACTCAAGAAAGAGTGAGTTTCCAAAAGCAGCCCTAGTCCCCTCCCTCCTTGCATGCCATAGGTCTCTTTCCCAAAGCAGCCCTAGTCCCCTCCCTCCTTGCATGCCATAGGTCTCTTTCCCAAAGCAGCCCTAGTCCCCTCCCTCCTTGCATGCCATAGGTCTCTTCTCGGACTGTCTAATTCCTCTCTTTGCTGGCCCGAGCTGCTCTGCCCCTGTCTCACAAACCTACATAACCTTTAATGTAGCTTCTGGAGAAGGAGTGAAGGGGAATACTATAAATTGTCACCTGAGTGACAGCTCTGAGTCTGCTGGGGCTGCTGACATCATATCCAAGACCGACATGCCCAGCAACAGTCTCAGGGCTTTGGGATGTCTATATAAAAGGAGGATTTTACAGGTAAATAATGTATAAAATGCATTTAGTGTACTTATAATCGTATGGGAGTATTGCTGTTAAAATAAATGGTCTGGCGGGGGGCGGAGCTTATCTATGGCGGCAGCCGGACGTGTTCGTCCTTAGCTCCGCAATACAGGACCGGGATAATAAATGGTCTGGCAACAGGGTCTCTTTAGAGGGAACATGTGCTGAGAGAAATGTGCAAGCTGGAATTTCTGATATCCTGAAAAAGTTACTTGCCTATTTGTCTCCAGCCTCAATATTTTCTGAGTTACTGACCCAATACAAATATATATCCAATTATATCCAAGTTTAGTGCCTGAGAAAGCATTGAACCCATAGGCTCTGCTTTACAACCAGAGAACTAGCATTTTTACAAGATGATCAGTGATGACTCTCCATGTACTCCACTTAGTACATGTTACCTTTAAAGCTTTGTTTAATAAGATAGTATGAAAAGCAATGATGGCATCTGACCTTTTTCATTGCTTTGTGTGATAGCATACACTGGATACAGTCAAAGGAATTCCACTATAGTTCAGAAACAAATAATTAGCCCCATGGAAATGCACAGCCATTACTCCAAGAACATCACGCATTCTATCTACCAATTACTGTTTCTTAGGCTGGGTACACAGTTATTTTCTTTCCGTTCAGGCTCGCAGTCTAACAATATCAGATTCCTCCCTCCACACTAACAGCACAGGTGAACAAAATCTCCTGCTGTGTACATTGTAAGAAGGTCAGCCAATGATTTTGCAGCATTCCCCTTGGCAAAAGTGGATCTAATGACTGACTTGTCACGCGGAAAAGGATTACCAACTGAACTAATTTCGGCTGATTCCTACGAACTCTCGACACACTGGGGATTATTACACGAAATAAGTCTATATAAACTTGTTTACATGATTGAACAATGTCTTAATATTAGGGTTGCACAGATACCAAGTACAGTACTCGGTACAAGTACGAGTACATGTAACGATACTTTTGATCTCCAAGACTACACTAGAGACAAATTCAAAAATTAGGAGGCAACTGTCATTTGTAAGGAGCACACGGAGCTCCTGTGATTAGTACATCTCTGTTTTAATGTTCGATTTTGTTTTTATAAATGTAAATAAAGGGATGCACAGATACCAGTTTTGCGAGTATGAGTACTGGTACTTGCCGAGTACTTACAAGTAAGAGTACCGATACATTTTTGTTTATTGTCATGTGACAGTTTTTCTAAAACAATACAGACTAATGATTCCAGTGGTGGAGTGCCAGAGCCAGGTCCCAGCTGCAACCTCTGCAACCCTGGTAGTTCTCATGAAAATGCCAAGTATCTGCACTGGTACTCAAAAAGTATCTGTGCAACCCTACTTAATATGTTACTGTAAAGCACTGATTTAGTACAGTGCAGAATTAGCAAAAAAACAAACTACATTGCATACAAAGGACAAGTGTGTTTTCCTTTTTTTTAATGGGAACATTAAATCCTTTAGAAACTGTTTAGTACAGTAGCAAGGATTGGACAAGCTAGTGGAATTAAAACTATGCAATTAAAGATAACAATGGCTTTTGTTTAGGAAATCATGGCTGTTTTAGAACTGTTTCAAGTCTGGCATTTCATCCTTTGCTAGATTAACAATACATACACAAGAGAGATGAGCCTTTGTAAACTCTCAGCCATTTTAACACAAGGCGATTTGTCAAAACAGAGCAAACTTTAACACGGGCACACGGCTATTTAAATGGATATTCACACAAAGTTTGTAACCAGCTACCGTAAAACTACTAAAAAACCCAACAAATAAAGTTTTTGGTTTCCCATAGAAAACAGATTTCAGCAGTTTCTTACAGCAACCTTGGAAAAAAATGAATTGTGTCAACAGACATTACAGCGCAGTCTGAAGTCAGTCTTGTGATCCAAAAAACCCTGCAAGACAACAAAGTATAGCCTCCACTGCAGTCACAGTCCTACAGCAGGATCTGGACAAACCTTGACTGGACTTTGACTGCTGGCAGGACAATAAAGGATAATAAGTGGCACACTGATTGAGTCTCCCCTATTCTCACTATGCTCTTTTGCCTAATACTGATGAAGTGACAGACAGAAGCTCATCTTCTTAAGAATATTATCAGAGTTTGGATATTTGAGACCATCTACGCTTTTCAACATTCACACTAATCCAAGGACGCCTCTGCCTCTACCAGCGGGAAACTTTTTCCGTCCACCATATACACTGTATCTTCACCATCCTGATGTCCATCATAAGACCTAGGAGTGGGAACACTTGGCATCAAGAGTGACCTATCAACTTATTGCGAACTTGCTACAAGCCACCCAGGAAGTCTTTTGGCTCCCTTCTTCTCTCCTTGTCTCCCACCTTTTTTGGTGTATATCTTTGCTGTTCACCTGACTCTAGGACGTACCACAACATGCACATGTTGCAGCACTGGATTGTTTCCTAGTGCTGGTCCTCCCTCTGCCTGCCCTTTGCACAAGGGTATTGCAAATGTATTAGAGGAGGAGCTTTTTAGACAGTTCCAGGTATTTTACTAGTTGCATTTAAAAATACATTTGGTTATTTAATCAGTTAAAGGAGAACTATGGATTTAAGGCTTTCCCACATAGTTCTCCTTAGGGTAACGGGAGGACACAAACTAGCATCCTCCCGTCACCCTAAGCTCAGCTACTGCTCGCGGTATACTGAGACGCCGCAGCTGAAGCGGATCCCCACAATTATGTCTGGATCCGCCCAGCTGCATGAGTGACAGCTGGCTCTGCCTATCTAGCTGACTGGCGGAACGGACGGGGAGGGGGGAATCCAGTCCCTCCCCTGTCACCGCAGAGAGCTGTGACAGGATCGAGAGGTAAGCGAACGCCGGTATATGTTCGCTCACCTCCCGATCTACTGAGCCGACCTGTGACAGTCTCATTGTCACAGGTCGGCTAGAACTATGAGGTCAGTGAAAAATGTTTAGGAAATCATGGCTGTTTTAGAACTGTTTCAAGTCTGGCATTTCATCCTTTGCTAGATTAACAATACATACACAAGAGAGATGAGCCTTTGTAAACTCTCAGCCATTTTAACACAAGGCGATTTGTCAAAACAGAGCAAACTTTAACACGGGCACACGGCTATTTAAATGGATATTCACACAAAGTTTGTAACCAGCTACCGTAAAACTACTAAAAAACCCAACAAATAAAGTTTTTGGTTTCCCATAGAAAACAGATTTCAGCAGTTTCTTACAGCAACCTTGGAAAAAAATGAATTGTGTCAACAGACATTACAGCGCAGTCTGAAGTCAGTCTTGTGATCCAAAAAACCCTGCAAGACAACAAAGTATAGCCTCCACTGCAGTCACAGTCCTACAGCAGGATCTGGACAAACCTTGACTGGACTTTGACTGCTGGCAGGACAATAAAGGATAATAAGTGGCACACTGATTGAGTCTCCCCTATTCTCACTATGCTCTTTTGCCTAATACTGATGAAGTGACAGACAGAAGCTCATCTTCTTAAGAATATTATCAGAGTTTGGATATTTGAGACCATCTACGCTTTTCAACATTCACACTAATCCAAGGACGCCTCTGCCTCTACCAGCGGGAAACTTTTTCCGTCCACCATATACACTGTATCTTCACCATCCTGATGTCCATCATAAGACCTAGGAGTGGGAACACTTGGCATCAAGAGTGACCTATCAACTTATTGCGAACTTGCTACAAGCCACCCAGGAAGTCTTTTGGCTCCCTTCTTCTCTCCTTGTCTCCCACCTTTTTTGGTGTATATCTTTGCTGTTCACCTGACTCTAGGACGTACCACAACATGCACATGTTGCAGCACTGGATTGTTTCCTAGTGCTGGTCCTCCCTCTGCCTGCCCTTTGCACAAGGGTATTGCAAATGTATTAGAGGAGGAGCTTTTTAGACAGTTCCAGGTATTTTACTAGTTGCATTTAAAAATACATTTGGTTATTTAATCAGTTAAA